TTTGAATGCTTTAAACTGAAAAATAAAGAAAAGCATAAAGAAAGAAAAAATGAGCACAAAAATACTGACACCGCTGAAGCTAGTGTAGCAACTGATGAGATTGAGGGAACTATATTTTTAGCAACTGAAACTAGTTTCAGATCAGACAATGAGTGGATTTTAGATTCCGGTTGTTCATATCATGTGTCCTAGTAAGGACTTGTTTTCTACATATGATTCAGTTGCAGGTGGAGTTGTCCAACTAGGTAACAATGTTACTTGTAACGTTATTGGCAAAGGTACAATTCGGATGATAATGTACGATGGTGTAGTGAGAACTCTCACCGATATTAGACATGTTCCTGACTTGAAGAAAAATCTCATTGTAACGACCCGACCGGTCATTTTGAGTATTACAACCCCATTTTTATATTTACTACTCAAATTGGGCTTTACAGTTGTCGTGTGACTTGCCGGGGCAATTGGTTCGGGTCCGGTGAGGTTTTGGAATGAATTGGAACACTTAGTTCCAAGGTTTAAAGCTTAAGTTAAAATAGTGACCGGATGTCGACTTATGTGTAAACGACCTAGGAATTTAATTCTGATAATTCCAATAGCTCAGTATGGTGATTTTGGACTTAGGAGCATATCCGAAAAATTATTTGGAGGTCCGTAGTGGAATTAGGCTTGAAATGCCGAGAGTTAAATTTTGGGAAGTTTGACCGGGGGATTGAATTTTTTGATATCGAGGTCGGAATCCGATTCTAGAAATTGGAATAGTTTCGTTATATCATTTATGACTTGTGTGCAAAATTTGAAGTCATTGCGGATTGATTTGATGTGTTTCTGCACAAGATATAGAATTTGAAAGTTTAAAGTTCAAAGATTTTGATTTGAGGTTTGATTCGACGTTTTGATATTATTTGATGTGATTTGAGGCCTCGAGTAGGTCTGTGTTATGTTATAGAACGTGTTGGAATATTTGGTTGAGGTCTTGACAGGGCTTGGGTGTATTTTTCGATCATTGGTTGAGACATTTAATAAAGTTAAGAAATTTGAAAGTTTGGCCATGATCAATATCGGGTCAAGACGACCTCTTTTTAGTGTGTGAGTACACGAGCAGATCCATAGCGTGTCTTATGATTGAAATTCATATATGGTTTGTGTCTGGGAGTGTTTCGGATGAGTTTCGATGTGAGTTTTGAGCGAGTTCGGGCATTTCGTCACTCTAATATTTTTCTGGCACTTTTGGGGGTGCGGAGCGCACATTTTTTGGTGCTGAGGTGAAGGAGGGACGTGGACCGCACATAAGAGTGCGGACCGCAGCAGAATTTTGCAGACCGCACAATTCTGTACGCGGCCGCGCTCCAGGGACTTCTGCTGATTTGCTGGTCCAACTTCGGAAGCCTATATCTTTTGATCTACAAGGAATTTGGAGATGATTCAAAAACGGAAGTTGTAGTCCTTCGTGTCTATTTTCCAGAAAAGTACAAAAGTCATCATTTGGACATCTGTAGATAAAGTTATGACCAAAATACTAAAACCTAGCAGTGCAGCCACCAAGAATTTCGCGGACCGCAGCAGAATTTCACGGCCGCGCTTGGACTTTTGCGGACCGCGAAGTGGGAGTTCAGAAGGTGCACTATATAATGGGGTTTAGGGTATTATTTCATATTTTAGACCTAGAGAGCTCGGTTTGTGGCAATATTTCGTGGGTTTTTCAAGAAATTCATCGGAGTAAGTGATTCTAACTCGAATTTGGTTAATATACATGAATATATCTATGATTTCATCATTTCATTAGTACTTTGAGGTGAAAATTTGGAAAAAATTGTAGAAATTTCATAAGAACAAATTTTTGGGATTTGAATACCGATTCGGAGTCGGATTTGAGTGAAATTAGTATGGTTGAACTCGTAATTGAATGGGTTATCGGATTTTATGAGTTTCGTTAAATTTTAAAATGTGGGCCCTACAGGTAATTTTTGGGGCGTAATTTTGGATTTTGTGGGAAATATTAGTATTTTGATATGGAATTAATTCCTATAATGTTTGTGGGCTGAATCAAATTAATTGTGACTAGATTCGAGCCGTTCGAAAGTTGATACACGCATAATGGGATTTCTGGAGCATTGTTTAGCTTGCTCGGCATTGGATTTGGCTTGTTCGAGGTAAATAACTCTTCTAATCTTGGAGCTGAGGGTATAAACCCGGATTATACATGTTATGTATTTTGTGTTGAGATGACGCACATGCTAGGTGACGGGCGTGTGGGCGTGCACCGTGTGAACTGTGTAGTTATTTGAACTTGTTTGAAATCACGAAATCTCTACGTACTAGAGTTATCAAAATGTGATTCATGCTATAAACTATGTTTAGACTACAAGTCTAATCCTGTTGGGACCCACCGAGGTCATTTATGCTATTAAGTTATCTGTTTTCATTGCATTTCATACTCAGTCATACGTATTTATATGCATATCATATCTCAGCATCTGTTGTTATTTATTGATACATTATATCATCATTTTCGGGTTGTTTACATGACATTGTGAGCCCATGAGAGAGAGACTGGAGAGATTGATGACTGAGTGAGGCCGAGTGCCTGATTGATTCTGATATTGATATTATGATACGTGAGTTGTCCGTGCGGTTATTAGCGCTTGAGCTGAAGGAGCTCCTCCGGAGTCTGTACACACCCCAGTGAGCGCGGTTGATATTATTGAGGGATGGATCTTCCCTAGATATAGATCTTGTCCGAAGTATTATATATCTGGAGATGGAACTTCTCCACGGGCTAGATTGGCTCTACTCGGTACTGAATGACTGATAATCAGTTGATGTGTATATTCCGGGATGGATCTTTCCTGAGCCAGATTGGCCATATACAGTACCGAGTGATTGGGCATGATGAGTGGAATATGTGAGAAAGGGAGATTGAGTACTCTGAGAGTGTGAGTACATGAGTTCATCTCTGAGGTACATTGCATTGACATGCACACATGACATACATGCATAGAGATGTATTTTTCTCATGTTGTACAGTATCACATCATTCATAATTTCTCACACATGTTGACAGATGGGCATAGTGATGCATCTGTTTTACACTGGTTATCTGGAAAGAAAATGAAATATCTTATTATTATTGAAAGAATTTTGGGAAAATTATTATTTTTCAAACTTATTCATATTTTTGGCAACTTCGGTAAATGATTTGGGTTTTTATTGATGTACTTGAAAGGCAGAACTATTTTCAGAAATCATGTTTTCTTTTGTTGAGCATTTGATCGTTGAGTTACTTCTGGTATTATTTTCTTTATATTGTTATGAACTGTTGTGGACTAGTGATTTTGGACCCGACCTTGGTAGAAGCTCGTCACTACTTTCAACCTAAGGCTAGGTTTGTTACTTACTCAGTACATGGGGTCGGTTGTACTGATACTACACTTCTGCACATTGCGTGCAGATGTTGACTGCTGTTGTTGCTGTGCTCGATGGTTGCGAGATTTGAAGATGCACCTGCATTCCTGTTGTAGTTGCCTCTTATTCATGGTAGCCTTAGATTTATAAAAGCTCTGTTTATGTATTATTCAAACAGACTATGTATTTATTTCATTTCTGCTTTGTATACTTTATTCTTAGAAACTCATGATTTGTACTACCAGTTCTTGGGGAAATGTATTGATTTTAGATATTTTTTTTAATTAATTTTATTGGAATTAGATAGTTGATAATTGGCTTACCTAACGAGTTGGGTTAGGTTCCATCACGACTAGTGGGATTTTGGGTCGTGACACTCATCTCTTTGGGCACTCTAGAATCTCTTGGGTGCAAGTACACAGGTGAAGGTGGAGTTCTGAAAGTTTCTCATGGTGCTCTTGTAATCATGAAAGCACACAGATCTGGTTCGTTGTATACTTTATTGGGCTCCACTGCTATAGGCCCTACTATAGTTTCGGTATCAGACAACTTGTCTGATTTTGATGGCATTAAATTTTGACACATGCCCATTGGGGCTTTTACGGAGAAGGTGGAGCAATCTTACTATATTAGCCAAAATTAGGTCAAGGTGGAGATTTATAATTATGACCAATATTTTGGCTAATGGAGACCATCTCACATAAGCATAAGCATCTTTGCAAAGTGTAGACTTTGGTGGCAATATTCTTTGAGACCCAAAAATATTGCATTGTGTGGTGGATATCATTTGCACAAGTTGTATCTCTTCTTTTACACCTAAGAGGCCAAGACTTTTTTGCCTATAAAAGGTAAGGTCATTAGTTCATTTTAGACACACTAACAAGACTTGAGCCTTCATTTCTTGTTTCTTCCTTTCCTCCTTTATTAAGAGTGTTTTGTATGAGAGTTGACTGTTGGGAAGCACTTGTGTGAACCATTTCTTTGGAGTGATCTTGTGAGGTTATTCCCTTAGGGTATTTGGGACTAATTAGAGTATTTACTCTAATTTTATACTCTATTTTGTACTCTTATTGGTATAGTGAAATTGATCTTCTCCGCTTGTGGACGTAGGTCACACTGACCGAACCACGTTAAATTGGTGTCTTCTTTATATGCTTTAATTGTCGTTGTTATCAACTTGCATTGTCTTTATTATTGTCATTATAATATTGTTTAGCTAAATTTCGCACTACCCGAGTTCCCGATCCTAACAACACCTATGGGCCATATTGCTACTCTTTGCAATATAGAACTAATGCAAATAATCAGAATCAAATGGAGAGATATCCAAATTATACTCTGTTTGTTTGAGTATGTGCGGTATTATTTCGTTTTTAGCCGATTTTAAAAAAAGAAAGATACTTTCTTTAGAAATAATTTAAATTTTAACTTCATTATCTTTTTATCTTTATTAACATAATTTTGTATTATATATTTAAGACGATAAGCTCTATAGGTCTTTCTTTCTATTTTAAATTTAATGCAATTAAATAAGTTTACATAAATGATACAAAGGCAGTAATACTATATGAGAGAGAAAAGACCTATAATGTAGAATTATTTTTGGGAAAGAATAGTTTCATATTTTTTGTATAGTTTGAGAGTAATATACTTGTCAAACAAAAGAAAGCAGAAAAGAGGAGTCTCTTTAAACGATTCAAAGCTCTTAGCCGTCGACTGCCGCTTTGAGAAAATATCTGTATATATTTCTTTTGAAGTGAAAAGAAATACTACTGTCAATGGAAATACTAATTAGCTTTTCAATTTTTATTGCGTCTATCCTAAGTCTTCTTTACCTTCTCAATTTATTTACAAGAAACAGAACAAAGACGTTAAATCTTCCTCCCGGCAGCTACGGGTGGCCAGTGATCGGAGAAACTCCAGAGTTTCTCCGATCAAGACGGGACGGAAGCCCAGAGAAATTTGTGACAGACAGAATAGAGAAGTATCAATCTCAGATTTTCAAGACTTGTATAGTGGGTGAAAAAGTTGCTGTGTTATGTGGCCCTGCTGGAAACAAGTTCTTGTTTGGAAATGAAAATAAGTTGGTCAATGTTTGGTGGCCAAGTTCTGTGAGACAACTGCTTGGATCGTGTTTGTCTACTATTTCTGGGGAAGAAGCTAAGCTCATGAGGAAGATGCTGACCTATTTTGTTAGCCCAGATGCTTTCTCTAAGCTCTATATTAAGACCATGGAATTGAGCACTCAGCAACATATCAAGAATTATTGGCAAGGTACACTTACTTCCCTAAATTACATTTTATATTTGTTTTTAAGGGGTCATTTGGTTGATGGTTTGGAATAATTAATTCCATAATAAAATCTCGGGGAAAATAATATAATGTTTGGTTGGCCGTACAAGAAAAAATAATAATAATTTTCGTATAACTAACGCAACGGTTGCTTGGCGGAATTACATAATACCTACATTGAGTTCTATGTGAATTTATGTCTTAGTTTAATTGCTGGATAGAATGTAAAAAAAGATTATATTTGTTAATACTAGCATTAAACTATCTAAATACAAAAAAAATACTCTTTTAAATTAAGTAATGCATATATAAAAACTCCTCGCGTAATAATACTTTCATCATTAATCCTCAATAAACAATCTCTACATAATAATCCTAAATTCTTTCGAGTGGATGTTTTGGAGTGTGATAAATCATATATGGCCAGAGTAGATTGACAATATGAAAGATTCAATGAGTATACTTTGCAGCATATATCAAATTCAGAATAATATTAGAAATCTATTTATAAAGTGTGATTCCCAACAAAACGCAAAATTCATTGCTCTTTAACTACAATTCTGTTTTTTGGTAAAATAAAATATCGAAATAAAATTTTCATTTTGAAATACACTAAATGAGCGTTTGGTATGGTGGATAAGCAAAAATAGTTTCGTACCGCCTTATTCCTTGTTTGGTAACTAATCATGAGATAAGTTATCCCACGATTATAAGTAGTATCGGGATAACTTATATCTGCCAGAGAGTGGAATAGTAATCGCAGAATAAGTTATCTCAAAATAAATCAGTAAAATTGACAGTCTTAGGATTAATACAACATACCAAACAGTAAATAAAAAATAATACTAAAATAACTAATCACAGTATAGCTAATTTCAATATAGCTAATTCTAACCAAAGGACCTATCCTTCTTCTCCCGTTCAAACGAAAAGGAAAAGTGTTCGAGTAAATTGTACATCGTTTGACTTGCATAATTAAAGAGACGTGCGAAAATTTTCTTAGTTAAATTTTATGCAGTATATTGACGTCTTGTAATTTATAATGTGCTTTGAAAGACCTCCACTAACCACACAAGTAGTGATTGCACAAGTTCAAATATTTTATGTTGTGTGACTCACATTGGACGGTTGGAGACTTGGAGGACCTCAACTAACCAAAGCGAAAGATAAGTAAAATATTTCATAGGCAATTATGTCATTATAGTAGGTGTTTAAAAAGTTTGACAATGTCATGCCTTCTAAATTATTCTTCGAGACTTAATTATCTACAAAAAATTGCAAATAATAGATTCAAGTTTTTTGATCTTAAATGGTTGAATATAAAATACTTATATAGTTTTAAAAACTTTTGTTACAAAACTTCAACAACAAAATATTGAATGTGAAATTGTTGTAGTTTTAAAATGCTTTAATAACTCGCTTTACAACATTCTAGTATCCAAAATTAATGATTAGAGATATTGAAAATCTGTGAGGTTTCTTCGTTGAGTTAATATTTCTGAAATCTCATTTCAATTCTTCATTTGTAATATTGGCCACTAGTATACGTTACTTTGATGGCATTTGAGCTGAAGTTCACTTTTAGTTCTCTTATTATGTGACCTTTAATTAGACTAAATGTCACGTGTTGAATTTCTCGAACTCGTTGCTAAATATATATGCACACAAATATTGAGGTTTATTTGTCTACATGAAGGTAAAGAGGAGTTGAAAGTCTTCCCAACTATCAAGTTACACACCTTTGAGTTGGCATGTCGTCTATTCATGAGCTTAGAAGACACAAATCGCATTTCAAATCTCTTCAATCTGTTCAACATTTTCTTGAAAGGAGTCTTATCATTGGCTCTGAATTTCCCTGGAACAAGATTTTATCATGCAAAGAAAGCAACAAATTCTATACGAAAAGAACTCGTGTTGATTGTCCAGCAGAGAAGAGAGGCCTTAGAACAGAAATTATTAGTTTGTCCTCCCCAAGATCTTCTCTCACATTTGCTTCTATTTCCGGACGAGAACGGTAAATTCATGTCTGAACTGGAGTTAGCAAATAACATACTGTTGCTGCTCTTTGCTGGCCATGATACTACCAGTGTTACTATAACATTGGTTATGAAGTATCTTGGAGAGTTACCTCATGTTTACGATAAAGTTTTGCAAGGTCAGTATGTCATGTGTGATTACTCTCCCCCCCC